TTTGACTCTAATGTTAGAGAAGCCTATCATCTTTCCCCAAGCTGCTCAGAAGATGGGAAGGAATTTGATTTATTAAACAGGATTGCTACACATTGATGTACATAACTTTAAAAACTTTTGTCAGTTTTTTATTGTACGGGGAATAAATCATCTTTGATGTCTTATTCAGTTGTTGCACTCAGTGACATGACAGGGTTTCATTTGACAGCCTACAGGAAGCTGTGTCTGGCTTGCGATAAATTAGGGGTGGGTCTTGCTAAACTCCATATTGACTGCAACTCATAATCAATTCATACCATCCAATAGCCTGGCAAGACAATTTAATTTGTTATGTCATGCAAATTGTATTTTTTGTGCCATGGTTTATTTGAGGTTATTTTCCTTAAACATCTTTGAAAGTAAGCCAAACTAACTTGACACAAACTCATTGAAAACAAACATTATGCCCCATACAGGAAACATTCTTATAAAAAATATAAAAAAATAATTAAATCCTTACTCCCCAAAACATTTTAAAGGAGAGGCTGAAAAGTTCTTAGTGAGTGAGTATAGTTTTACGCCGCTTTCAGCAATATTCCAGCAATATAACGTCCGGGGACACCAGAAATGGGAACAGTTCTGAGACTGACAGTAAAGGATGTACACTATATGCTGGACAGTTTTCTTGCAACAAATATATTACTTTACAAATTGTAGGCTGCATTTTAAACCATTCAGACAAGCATATTTCTTCAGGGATCAAAGTGGCAAGGTGATCTCTGTTGATGAAACTGGACAGAATTGGCTACTGAAAAGTCGATAGATATGGGAGCATAGTGTCAATGTAACCCGTGAAGATGTTAGGTGTTATGTTGAAAACTATTCCCCCATTGTCCTTCATAGTCAGCCCCAGAACTTTCAGCCATCCCTGGCAATATTCTATCAGGCCATAATTAGCTGAGTAAAATCATTTATGGAAAAAACTGTGTATGAAAAGATATAAAAATATCAATTACGCATTCTAAAATTTGATATCAGATTGTATGTTTAACAATAATTGCAAGAGTTTTGTAGATACTATATATGAAATGTCTATGTATCTTACACAGATATGAACTATTGTTTGTCAGTAGTTTAGTAGGTTACCTGAAATAGACAAGTTTGACTTTACTCTAACATGAGTGTATTGAATCAATTTTTACCACAAGATACAAGATATTTCAAAGTGTTTTGCGTCTTGAATGGGCTGTCAGTTTACTGTAAATGACCAAGCAGTCGAAGAATCCATAGCAGATTAATCAGCAAATACTTGTGTATGGGTGAAGCATGATCCAGTTTGATTATGCTGATCACATCCCAACACCTGTGCTTATACAAGTCTATAGGAGTTCTGACTATTGGAAGCTCTGTATACACAGAGGAAAACCCACAGGTGTGGCGATGGCTGTGTAAGACAGGAGCCCAGTCAACAGGTATCGCATTCCTGTAAGTTAGATTTAATTACACAGGTGATAAGATTATTTTATCTTCTGTTAACTCTTCCTGTTGAGTTTGAAACATCTTGAAATGATATGTAAATTATCGGAGACTCTAAGAAAAAAGGCTTTTTAGATATTCTATAGGAAGGGTTGCTAATAGTATAGTTTTCAGATTGTGTGTTGTTCGTACCACGAATAGAGGAATCATGGCTGATCACCTGTGTAAACAATCTTAAGGCGCTCAGGTGTGAAAAACATCAAAGCCATTAAATGACATTCAGCGACACTCGAGCAGCAATTGCGACAACTGTTTACCAAGCCATCACCTCTAATCACACAATCATCTTGACACTCAACAACGGTTAATTCATCGTGTGTGAATACAACTCCTGACAACCCATTCACCATAAGGTAAACATCAGAAGCCATGACAGGCGCAGAGACTTGGCATTCAGCTGATGGGTTCTGAACATTTTGTTTGAATTGAAACATGTCTCCTGTTCTCTTCTCATTGATTTTCAATGTTGTATGGTCGGTTATATGGTCCGTACAAGCAGGACTGTGAAACTATCACAGGGTGTGATCGCGCAAGTAATTTTTGATCTAACCGTAAAACGTGCACGTGCATAACTCTGTACTTCTATCATTTTGTAATGAAATTGTTGTGGCAGTGATGTATATTCAAACAGAACAGTGTGCTAGCAATTCAGTCAAGTTGCTTCGCTTGCAAAGCCCTCGGAATAATGTTTCAATGAGGTAGCATAGAAATAATATTGAATAACCTTTGGCCCAAGAAATCACCACACCTTGCTGTTTTCATTGATCTGATTACGAGGTTGGTGGTTTGTATCTCCATGATCAATAGGTTGTGTTGACCCAATTTTAGGCCCTATAACATATAAAAAATAAACAATCAACAAGGCTGTTCAGCATTTTATATGGATTTATTAGATCCAAAATTTACAAAATTCAAAACTGTTTTGAAATGGGAAGATCATTTCCAAAAAGAGTATACTGACACAGAGTGGAAGAATATTAATCTTATGATGAAAAGTTGTACACAAAGTAGTGACCTTAGATGGTTTCAATTCAGAATCATTCATAATATATCAGAGACCATTGATTTATTGTTTTAGATGGGATATATATATAGAATGTTCTTTATGTAATGATCCACTTGAAACCATTATACATGTTTTATATGCCTGTCAGTATGCAATATAATATGGAGACAACTTTCAGAATGGCTTGCAAAATACACTGAAGGAAACATTGATTTCAGTAAAGAGAATATATTGTTTGGATTTAAGGGTATGAATAATAACCGTTTGAATGCAGTTATTCTTATAACAAAATCTATGCTTTACTGATTTAATGTTAAGAAAGTTAAACCAAACTTTAAACCTTTGTACTATCAAACAAGCAAATTTACTGCATTCTCGAACTTTAAACATGCAAGCTTTCATGCCTTCTGGTCTTCTCTCCATATGCTTTTCAGAAATCCTCTATAAATGTTTTAAATAAGACATCTAGATGACAATTCTATGTTTATGTGAGTCTACATGCACATATATGTATTGATCAATTTTGAATTGATTCAAATGAAGTTAAACATGCCCAAAAAGAGGGGGGGAAAACAATACAAAAAAACAACAACAAATAAACATGATCAATAGGTAGTGTAGCAATATTAGGACCCTGGGCCAAGACTTTCGAAGCTCTCTTAACGCTAGGATAGTCGTAAGTTAATGTTTATGTATTGCACTTACGACTATCTTTGCTCTAAGAGAGCTTCGAAAATCTAGTCCCTGGTTGGGTACAGGGAAGTACCCCGGGACTATAGAGCCAGGAGTAGTAGCATCCCGCAGTTATGTCCCCTGTTAGCTGGATTTATGTGACCTTGAATCACTGTAAATAATTAAAATGTTGCAGAAGAGATAGGTTTTGGAAGTGTTAAGCTGAACTGTAAAGAAACTGATAGGGAGAACTATAGCAGCTTTGGTGCTATGACAATAGGGCTGCATTGTCAAGATTGCCTGGTTTGTTATACTTTATACTCTGTAGATACTAGTGTTGGGAATTGGTTAAAATCTCGTAATTGATGATTGGTTCATTACAACCGATCAATCATCGAAAATAATTGGTTAGCGTCATTTATGAAATTTTCCTGGTTATTTTTGTTAATGCACAAAAAATAAAGAAAATACATGCAGTTCCTTGGGGTGATTTTTGCAAATTGCACATCTTTAAAGGATGACTAGTATGTTAGGAGCATAAATTTCTTGTCGTCTTTAACATAAATTCAGTTGTGACTTTAAACGAGCATGTAGTGTTCATGAAATGTAACAGACAAAACCAACCGTGTGGAAAATATTGTTAATGCAAAAAGTGTTCCAGAATTGTTTGTGTTCGATTATGAGAAAACATGATCATTTGCTTGGTCGTTTAGTCATTGCGACCAATCTTCGATTTTTTCAATTAATCGGACCACCACTAGTAGATACCATGAAGGAAAGTCTATGAGCTTATGCCATTGTCTGTCAATTATACATACTATAATTACTGAGAGAAACAAATACAGGAACACATGAAAATTCAAGTATTCCTTTAATATTTTCCAGTTTTTGTCACCAGCTTTGAATAGAACTGTGGGAGGAAATCTGGAAATAATTAATGGAACACTGCCATGAAGTGTTCTTTTAATTGTTTCTTCCAGGATATATTTACATTCATATTTTATCATGCCAACATATTGTCACTTTAACGCCATTGTCAGAAATGATGCTTCGAAGAAGAATTATTTTCCTACAATCTTTATCTGTTGACACACTTTATAGTGGTAGGGTAGCCTAGTCTTTAAAACAATTGCTCATCACTTCGAAGGCCCGGGTTCAATTTCCTACAAGAGTACAATGTCAGGGGTGGAAATAACCCATTGCCCAATGTCCGAGTCCAGTCTTTTTTTCTGTCGGGCAAGCAAATTTGTATATCACACTGTACCGGTGTCCAGTTGACTTTCCAATGTTAATTATGTTGTTTATTTAAAAAATCAACAAGGAAACGGACGGTATAGTGGAAAAATTATCAGGGCAAGTGATTTTACATGTGCCACTGTACCGGAGTATGCTAGCAATTTTAAAGTTATTTCCACCCCTGAATGTGTGCAGGGGCGTAGCTACCATTGTGAAAAAAAAGCCTGGGCTTACACATGATTGTTGCTAACACAGTTGGGCAAGCACTCAATACTATCTAAATATAAAGTTGTGCAACCTATCAGGCTTACACGAAACATTTGGCTTGCTACGTGCCTGGTGTGAAGCCCATTTCTGATGTCCCCGCAGTGATATTGCAGGAATATTGCTAAAAGCGGTGTAAAACTAAACTCACTCACTTACTGCTGACAGACTTAAAATGTTTGTACCAAAAATAAGGTTGAAGTGTCATAGAAATAAGGCTGATGACTTATAGAACATTGTGGCTCTATTTTGTTTGGTTTGAGTTATTAGTGATGGACTTCAATCTTTCCTCCATGTGTTGTTTCAGATTGAAGCAAGGACTCTTCAAGAAGCCGAGAGACTTGGCCAGGCTGATTCTGTTGCTGGGAAACCAACATCTCGTATAATCAACAAGCTATTGAAACGTTACCCACAACCCCCTACAACAATCAAAGTGAAAATGTGATGTACGTTTTGTAACTATCTATGCATCCCTGGTGCATATGGGGATAATTGTTTGGTTGGTTGTTTAACGCCACACTCAGCAATATTCCAGCTATATGGTGGTGGTCTGTAAATAATCGAGTCTGGACCAGACAACCCAGTGATCAACATCATGAGCATCGATCTAAGCAATTGGGATACAATGACATGTGTCAACCACCAATCCTGTTAGTCGCCTCTTATGTCAAGGTATATGGGGATGTTTAAACACTTTGTCAGAATTTAACCATTGCCATTTCAATTTGTGTTCAAAACTATACAGTTTTTGAATATTTCAGGTTCATAATACTAAGGATATCTCCTTTTTAATTCTTTGGAATTATTTTGTGGCATTGATAATGATCAAGGATCATGTTAAGGGTCAGTTAAATCAAATTGGACTATGATCGGGAAAGGTGAAGGTGTCATGGGAAGTATGTTTGAAATTTCCTCACAAGTACTATAAATCTTATGGTAACAACAGTATGTCATAATTTCATTAATTCATGTCACAATTCCGTTGTATTATTGAATTCCACCTACATATATCATGATTAGTTCAGATTTTGTATGGTGTTTGGGAATGCCCAAAAAACTGGTAACAAATGTCGAAGGTCAAATTCACTCTCAAGGTCATGCAGTCCTAAATGTGTTCATGATGACTGTTCATATTTTGGTTGTTGGTGAAACTTTGTCATTCATATTAATGTTGAAGCTTTTAGTCTGTTTAGTGTTGAAGCTTTTAGTCTGTTTAGTGTTGAAACGTTTAGTCTGTTTAGTGTTGAAACGTTTAGTCTGTTTAGTGTTGAAACGTCTAGTCGCTGTTATGTTTATGATTTTAAAGTTTCACTATATGCAAATCACACCAATGAAAACATAGCTTGATAGTTCCAGCTATGAGGTTTCTTGCAATTGAAATACATCCATGTTTCATTTTATTCTCAAAATTGTCCAAATCTAATTGTCCAACTTTTGAAGTTGGCATGTCTGAAGATGGTGATACGTAGTTATGACATGTTAATCTTGAATTCAAGAAGTTCAAATAATATCATTTGAAGCAGTTTAAGATTTTCAAGGACAAATTAGAAATAAATCCTGTGTAGACAGACCAAATTTACTTGTCAAGTGTTCTTTTATTGGGAAAGTCGATAATCTTTTGTCTCAAATTTGAAGTAATTATTGAAAGGTTAATTACCTCTATCATTCTCATGAGTTGCTATACGTGCTAAGAAAAACAATTATAACTCCAATAAACGTGATTTAGGAGTACTCTTGATTTATTATACATGTAGCCAGAGAAAGATGACCCCTACAATGGGATTCTCACATGCATTATTAAGTAGTGTTAGATAGCCTCATGGCTATATTGGAATTGTGTCATGTGTCTGATAGCTCACCTGGCCTCCACAGTGTGAGAATGGCTCTTGTAAGTTGCTCTTCATGTTGACAGCTTCTTTCAAATTATCTTGGTGGACTCAGCTGATATTTGCATGTGTTCCTGATCCTAAAAAGGCTCATATTTGTTCATGGTATGCAAATCAGAATTTCAAGCTGGCGTCCACGGCCCCATTCACAAAGCAATCATATCATTAAGGTGATCGTAACTCCTATACTGTAACATAGACTTACGACAGTCATAGCACTAAGGTGATCGTAACTCCCATACTGTAACATAGACTTGCAACAGTCATAGCACTAAGGTGATCGTAACTCCCATACTTTAACATAGACTTACGACAGTCATAGCGCTAAGGTGATCGTAACTCCCATGCTTTAACATAGACTTACGACAGTCATAGCACTAAGGTGATCGTAACTCCCATACTGTAACATAGACTTGCAACAGTCATAGCGCTAAGGTGATCGTAACTCCCATGCTTTAACATAGACTTACGACAGTCATAGCACTAAGGTGATCGTAACTCCCATACTTTAACATAGACTTACGACAGTCATAGCACTAAGGTGATCGTAACTCCCATGCTTTAACATAGACTTACGACAGTCATAGCACTAAGGTGATCGTAACTCCCATGCTTTAACATAGACTTACGACAGTCATAGCACTATGATCGCTTTGTGGAACGGGCCCAAGGAGGCCATCTTAATTACATGTATTCCGAATGTCTTGTGTTCTTTATTTTTTGATGGACTCTTGAAAAAGTATGTATTGAAATATTGGCAGACGTAAGAAACTTGCTATAATGTTGTGTAAAACACTTCTTATTATAATAAGCAACATATTAATAATAAGCAGTTCCTTGTATGAGAATGCCAGTGGCACTGCCATAATTTAATTCCTGGTTCCTGACTGACAACTATGAAATAGATTCTCTCACCAAAATATCTTTTAACAATGGTTCTTGAAATAACTGGTGACATATGTAAGTTGGACATATACATGGAAAAGGAGAAGGCTTGACCTAGAAAGGGACAAAGCCTTCTAAGTTAAACCTGCCTCACAATGGAGTAGACCCATGAAGATCCGGGTTAGAATTGGTCATCAGCAACACATGCTTGTTGTAAGAGGTGACTAACAGGATCTGGTGGTCCAGCTCCCTGACTTGGTTGATGCTTGTTATTGTATCCCAGTTGTGTAGATCGGTGCTCATGATATCAATCACAGGAATGTATGGCCCAAAATCGAACATTTCATGACTGCCATCGTATTGATGGAATACTACTGATTGCATTGTTAACAACACACAGACTAATTGTATTTTATCATTAATGTATTACCGAAGATCATCTATTATCTTCTTGTATTGAGTGAGTGAGTGAAAGTTGCTCTTCACTGCATCAGCAATTTTCAGCTGTTCACAGCACCATATGTATTGATCTAAGGTTGTCATGTCAACTGTTATAGAATAATGTTAGAATTTTAAAGATTAGTTGACAGTTCTGTAAAGCAAGGTGAGCTACACGACCCCTATAATATTTTGCTTTTCATTTCCACTTACCTGCGTGTCATGGCTGTGAGGCTGAGACCTGTTGCTGTCAATGCTGTCTGTTTTGATAAGCGACTTAGTGTTTACGGAATTAGAGAGGTGTTAGTCAAGAGAATTGATTTGGTAAAAATAATTGTTATTCTTAATGACCCTAGGCAGTAGCCACATAGAATGAACCCCCGATGCAATGCTTAGGAATGACAAGTGTTTATGGATGAGGGATAATAAGTCTTTTATTGCATCAATAGAAAGCTAATATGAGTGCATATGCCCCAATATATAATATAGGCCAAGATATTGTGGAAAGTGTGTGGCATTGTGCCTTTAAGGAATGTGTTCTCATTAATAATGAATTATGAACTGTCATCGAAATATCCAGATATTATTACAGAACTGTTACCTTAGTAACATGCAGAATGGGTCTTGACACAATTTATCTCAAAGCTTGGCTGAGTTGATATCAATCATTTATGTATTTGTCTAAAACATTGGACTCAGAAATATAACTTTCATGAGAGCGAGTTAGTAGGGTTTTGTCACTTGGAACAGTATTTCTGTTATATCTGAGCATGTCATGTGAAAAATGGCCTACATTATGCAGACCTCTAGTGTTTCCCACTCTTGGTGAAACCAATGACATGGCTACAGAGCTGACCAGCCTAAACAGTGATAGGTCGAATCTGAGATTTGGACCTGTTGATTGTGGCTTTGTCTAAGCCAGTCTGCAGAGTGAGTGTGAGTTTAGTTTTACGCCACATGCAGAGTGAGTTGATGCACCTGAGATGATTGGGCTACCTGTGCAGCTCATATTGACTAGAACAATTAGAATAATTAGAAAACTTGAACAGGGAAAAGTGCAGTGACTAAGCTCAGTCATTTATATAAAGGTCTGTATTTTTTCTGTCATATTTTGTTTACACTAAGCCCAAAGAGGTCTGTAGTTTTTAATATAATCTTTTGCCGCTAACTGTACTATCTATGTTGAGTTTAATTAGGAGACAAACATGCTGTGTCTGAAGATTAGATCAATGTTAGACCGAAATGATAGTCACTAAATTTAATTTCAAATGGAGCACGTAGTGTCTAATTTTATTGACTGCACGATAATATTTGAGCATTTCACGTAGTCATAGTAGAATTTACATTTGACATAAGTTTCCTCTCTATCCTGCAGCAATCGTATCTCCTGTAATTTTGATAAGCGGCCGAAGACTGTGGACACTTTGCAGTGCATATGATCATGACAATAGCAACTGTGTCAACAGCTGACATGTATATTATATAGCACCAGGGCAAAATGTAAAATTAATATGATTATAAATCAAGCTGAAATCATCTGAAACATTTACTGGCATGATTAATGATAAAATATACAAATACCAATGAAAAATTTAAATTGTGCAAGCAATCGGAATACTTTACACATCCTTTTGCTATTTTCAATCCTACAAAAGTATTTGAGTCTAAGGACCCATTCCTCCTCTAAACACCCAACAACAAACACACACACACACACACACACACACACCACACACACACCCCCCCCCCACAACAACAATAACAACACATGTACAAGGACCAATTTGCATACATTTATAATTTTTGCACAACAAAACAAAAGGTAAGCCTTAAGCAAGTACAATAATTTTGGGTGACTCTGTGAATACATTTTGTCAATATATCTAATGAATAGTTCAATCATCATCCTCTTTTGTGTCTCCAGCTATTCCCAACAATAGCCTGGGGTTGTGTAGCAAAGCTTTGACAAGGGTAGGTAATCACCGTGTTTTGTGAAGCACTGTTGTCCCATGTTCCCCGGTCAGGGGGATTGACTTACAGCGGCAGGGTCATGTGACACAGAGGGGGAGCTACGATCACCAATTACACCTAATTTCTTGAACCAGACACTGCAGATACAAGAGGTGGGAGAAAAAGACCCAGATATACTCAAAGCTTGTGACTCCTGTTGCCGCAGACAGCGGATTGAGTTTCGTCATGATTGAGAGAAAACCTGAGAGTGTCTTTGTGAATTCACAAGTGAATGGCTGTATTTAAGATTTGTCTGATCTGTGCACGTTTTTTAGATAACATTCTGATTTGAGTGCTTCATTGCATTTGTAAAGATATTAATGGGTGGTCTGTCGGCGTGTTGCAAGTTGTACTACAGGTGGTGATAGTAAATCTTCATTCGTCTGTACGCCCTTTTTTGGGACTGGTGAATGAGGTATGGGTCATAATTTGTATACCGTTTGGAAATTCGGATCATATTTCACAAGGACTGATCTTAAAATCTTTTATTGTGTTAACAGTTGAACACGTTTGTTAATTCAAATGTGAAAATTATCATCGTAACTTTGTGTGAATGAAATTAGGGTTTCTTTGCAGGGTGCTATTCATGAATCCAGTTATTATGACCAGGTTTTTGCCCAGAGCAACTTGTACATGAGAGTTTTAATGATCTTTCCTTCATAAACCAGTCATAAATGTCAGGATTTAAAAAATGAACCAAGCATTTAACAATTTTCAGGTTCTGAAATAAATCCTTAAACATTGGACAAAAAAGCAATAAAATCATTTCACAATAAATCTGTTTTGAAATGTTAGGCATTGACGTATTAAACGAAGTAAGCCACATGATTATGAATTGCCCTTGTTGACAACCTACCCGTAATTCAGATGATAGACACACCTGAGAGACTTCAAAGCAACAGGTGCAAGCTGTACAGGTAAGCTGCATCAGTTAATGAGCACTGAGCAGCAACTTAATTGAGTCATCTGTCCCACGATCACTCACTCAAGGCATAATGGTGACCTGGCACCTGCGATGCCCCTACTGTGCCACAATAGCCGTCATAACCTCAATTTGAGGTGTCGTCGCCTCATGAACTCCCTGTATGCCTCCTGGTGTAGGCTTTCTCATACAGTTCTCGGGCTTAAACCAGGCTCTCAATGAAAAGCCAACTCTAATAGGAACCTTAGCAGCAATAGGATTGAGGCTTGCTTTAAAGGATGCTGCTGTGGGCTTAAGTTTCAAGTTTTGTTTTTGTTTTGCAGGCTAATTCTGGCATGAATGGAGTCTTAGTGGAGGTATCTCTGGCAAGTGTGTATAGAAAGGGACATGGTGAAGATCCTCGACCTCCTGTCATACACTTCACAGCTTTGTCCTGATTTAGATAGAAAAGCATGTACACTCGCGGAATCCTATAGATTATTTTTATGAAAATAAACATCTATACAAAGAACACCTGTTCATCTTTTATATTGGGCACCTGTATTAATATTTTGCTAACAAAACGGCTGGAGTTGGCGGGATGGTGAGTGTTTGTCTGTGTGTCGTCAGTGTAAACCGGGGTATGCAGCTACGCCCCCTTCCTCGTCATCTCAGGTGCACCATCGCCGCAACACGTGCCACATTGCTACCTGTATAAAGGAATGATTGTTTATTAATTATCGGAGGCTTAGGATACTTTTTAAGAGACAAATTTTGTTGGCAACAGTGTTTCGCCTTCTTGTTAACATGGGATTCTATGTCTGTTTTTAATATTGAAAAATAGTGTGTTTATTTAATAGAAGAACAATGACACCGTTGATTTAATTACACCACACACACACACACACACACACACACACAGACATTTGATGTAATGAGTGTGAAATGTCCAGATTTTAGGGAATTTGAGTATCGTCTGGTCCCTAGCAACCTGTGTTGGTTGTGAAAGGCAACTAAACAGATCAGGTGGTTAGGCTGAGTGACTTGGCGTGTCATGTACTCCAATAATGTGTATCACTCGATTATCTGGTCCACAGTCAGTTAGTCCACTGTCATTTATCCAGTGAAGGTGCCGGTTGAATTGCTCTTCTGCACCCCTTGCTTGTCGTAAGAGGTGACTAACGGAATCGGGTGGTCAGGCTCCTGACTTGGTTGACACATGTCCTTGTATCACAGTTGCGTAGATCGATGCTCATGATGTTGATCACTAGATTGTCTGGTCCAGACTTGATTATTTACAGACTACCGCCATATAGCTGGAATATTGCTGAGTGTGGTGTTAATAACAAAATATACCACTGTCATTTAGGACTATTGCTAAGTGCTATGTCAGTAAACAATGATCCACTTACAGTAATGAGGATCGTGTTGTATATTGTTGCTATGAACCGCTGGCATTGTGGCTTATAAGACTGTGCACAGACTGACATATGCTTGAATATTTGAGCCTTTCTAAAAGCAACATTCGCTTGAGATAGCTCAAAAAGTGGTAAATTTTCCCTTTAAAAAACTACATTCTTTCACTTAATTTATACTTGTGTTGTTTTGTGACCTTTTGCAGAAATTCTGTGATAAATGTGTACTTACTGTGATGACTAGGTCTGCACACATACTAGTTCACAGTAAGTTTGCTGCTTCTTTTCAGTCGGAATGTATGAAATGATTTAGTTCTTTGTAAACTGTGTCTACTTCTGTCTACCCAACATGTTCATATCATCTTCCTAGCTTAATGTCAGTTCAGACACATTTAAAAAATCTTAACAATAAATTTGAAAATTTGGAATGCAATGCTTACTAGGGCTATGATGAAAGGTCTTGCATCACGCAGACATTGTAAATTCCTGAATGATGGATAGTGTTTAGTTATTCATTATATATTCTAAATCAGCTGAGTATGTAACAGGAGTTATATAATTGGTCAACCCTATAAATTTCCGACTGTATAATCAGCATATATGGTTGCAATTTAAAAACCAATTCACCCAAACTGTTGACTGTATCCCTACACTATAGGGGTGACGCTGTTTTCAGGAGACTAACATTTGCAGAAGCCCTAGGTCTTCAATTTACTCCCTATTATAGCTAAAATGGATGGAATTTGTGTTAAAAAAGACAAAACAGTATCATAAATTTAATTGTAAGTTTACTTCAAACGACTCGCAACTGGCTGTTGACCCAACATTGTTAAGTCATGGAACAAGATTTATGACGTCATTATGAAGATGACATCATTTGACAACAGAACTGATAATGGCCTGTCGTTGGAATCAGCGGGCTATTATCATTTGCAGTGGCCCGCTTATTTCTGATTACCAGAGGGAGGTTTCATGATGATTCCATCCATTTTAGCTATAACACTATGATCTATTCATCATTGTCAAATTTAGTCAGTGTGCAAATAATAAACGTGTTTATTGTTATTATTTGACTTGCTATTCAGTTTGTTGAAGTTTAAAAAGGGAACTACTTTTTCTGGCAATAGTTCAAGAAGTGATATTATTAACCTTTGACCTTAAATTTTCGGCTATATAACCACCGGTATACGTCCCCAATATTCGTCAAACACAGTACAGTTATCCCCTAATTGTAAGATGCTTCGGGGAAAGATCAAAGGCGCCGATAGTACTTTATCAGACGATAATGTACACTTTTTTGCATTACGTCACAATGTATTAGCGTCACTGCGCCATTCTAGTCTGCCCCCGTGTAATCGAACTACCCTTGTTAACCGACGTCACGATGCATGTCAGTTGTCATCGCCTCGTACAGCTTCTTACATTACACTTCTCCGTACTACCCCGTTTGTTGGTTTGCAGTTGCTTCCCTCGGCTAACATCACTGTTGGTAACATTACCTTTATATTTTTCGACGGATATAATGTCTCAACATTAAACAGCGACACGGCAACGTTCGCAATGTTTACATTCACACATCCGTGCATTGGCGGATCCAGAGGGGGGATTCAGGGGTTCGACTTGCCCACCCCCTTTTGAAAATGACTTAAGACCACATTGAAGTTTTGCATTGGTGGAGCCAAGGTGGGGTTCAGGGGGTTCGATCCCCCTGAACCCCCCTTTTGAAAATTCCTGGATCCGCCTATGTCGTGTGTGACTTGTCTTGTCAGCTCATCGGGATGTACTGATCTAAACTAAACTTGGTATAACACCGATGTAATCGCAGATGTAATTAATTAAGAGAAGATATAATAGAAACTATAAAATGAATGATTTATTTATCAAAACATTGATATGTAATACAATGCATGAATGAGAATGTAAAAGAACAAAATAGCATGTCTTTTAGCGGCAATTAGAAGTTGTGCATAGATGTCCAAGATATTTTTATGGATTAAACTTCTGTTTATTTCTTATTTTAAAAGAAATAAGAAGTTTAATCCATAAAAATATCTTGGACAACATAGATATCAGTCATTTAAATGTTTAAATATTCTATTCAATGTTTACGGGACGGTTTTCACCTATAATGAATGAGACAATTTTTTGTCGTTAAGACGTTGAGCTGTTTGGAAAACACCTAAGACAGCAAAACTGTCTGGCATATACGTGATACGTTAGAAGCCTATTACCCAGTAAGGGAAGATTACACCCACATGAAATTTTTATGTTTTTCTGCCTGGTTGGTAAAAGTTTCTTTATATTTTTAATGTTCACCAAACCAGGACCTTTTGAAACCCATATTTATTTTTCTTTTGACACTGTATATATGTTGCCAGTGGTATTTACACAGTTTACACATAAGTTCAAATTATTGGAATATTAAATATTCAAGCTACTGTACCGTAAGAAAATATGTAAAATATGTATAATTACAGTACATATGTACGTAAAACACACATTGCGTTAACGTATCGAATGATCGCGAACCACTTGCCTATCTCGTTTGTAATACAGAACCCCCCGAACCCCCCTTTTGAAAATTCCTGGATCCGCCTATGTCCGTGCGTGACTTGTCTTGTCAGCTCATCGGGATGTACTGATCTAAACTAAACTTGGTATAACACCGATGTAATCGCAGATGTAATTAATTTAGAGAAGATATTTAACCCGAACGTAAACCGTCATCAAACTGTTTATCATTTGTGTTTCTGGTAACGTGCGCCTTAACGTGGGGTCGATAGAACAGCGCGTCAGTTAGCCCTGAACGTGAATTATTAATTTTGGTCATCCACGGCGTCGCTTTTCTGTTTGCTGTCTGTCTTAGATTTATCGTCGGTAAGTATGAAATTTGACATCTTAGAAAAGAAATACAGTTCGCTCTACCACTATGTATAGTGTAATAAAGCACACTTTCGCCCTGAACTATTATAACGCTAAAGCACTCGGACGCAAGAGGTGGGTTAGTCTAGTGGTTAAAGCCTTCGCTCGTCATGCCCAAGACCAGGTTTCAATATATTTAATATTCCAATAATTTGAACTTATGTGTAAACTGTGTAAATACCACTGGCAACATATATACAGTGTCGAAGGAAAAATAAATATGGGTTTCAAAAGGTCCTGGTTTGGTGAACATTAAAAATATAAAGAAACTTTTACCAACCAGGCAGAAAAAAACATTAAAATTTCATGTGGGTGTAATCTTCCTTTACTGGGTAATAGGCTTCTAACGTATCACGTATATGCCAGACAGTTTTGCTGTCTTAGGTGTTTTTTCAAACAGCTCAAGGTCTTAACGACACAAATTGTCTCATTCATTATAGGTGAAAACCGCCCCGTAAACATTGAATAGAATATTTAAACATTTAAATGACTGATATCTTTGTTGTCCAAGATATTTTTATGGATTAAACTTCTTATTTCTTTTAAAATAAGAAATAAACAGAAGTTTAATCCATAAAAATATCTTGGACATCTATGTACAACTTCTAATTGCCGCTAAAAGACATGGTATCTTTGTTCTTTTACATTCTCATTCATGCATTGTATTACATATCAATGTTTTGATAAATAAATCATTCATTTTATAGTTTATTATACATATTCATTATGAAAAATACTTATACTCCGTGATTTTACTTGAATTTTGCTAATTGCGGCGTAAAACTAACCTCATTCATACTCATTTCTCATTTTGTGATGTAATATCACCATCTACGTTTACTTTCGACGACTTCCGACAAATTGGAGTTGATTGGACTATTGATTTTATCATTCGGATTCGAAACGAAGATATCATGGCATATAGGTGATTTTTTTATGGAACGGAGATATACAAGTTGTTCACTCGATAATCAAGGATGCTGGTTAAAAAACCTTTGTTGGAAACGGAAGACGATTGCCTCAGGGCCATGAAAGTATCTTGTGTTATCTATTAAAAAAGATTTAATGATTTTCATAAAAAAATTTATGGCCCTAATAGGCTTCCGTATAAACGACGACCATGACGTCATGATGGTTGACACTACGTCACAGGGGAGATATATTGTAGTTAAATATCTATTTCAAAGTCAGTATAGGAATTCCGTTTCATTCCGTTTTCAAGACGTCACATCAGAATAATAGGATTACGTTTTCAAACATTTTCTTGCTTAACATACCAATGGGTAATACGTAAAAAGGCCATTAATAATTAGTGTCAGTACCTTTGTGATGAAACATTCATCTTCGTTCCTTACATACGTCGAAATTCACTACAATGATATACAGTCCGCGCGAGTCTTTCTAGAGTTTCATACATTAATGTCTGTGCAGCAAGCAGAATCCTGCCTGTGAAGTTCACTCGTGATTCCTCCGAAGTATTATTGATTTAGAAGAATGCTATGCCACACAAAGTTTAGGTCACCGATTGTCCTCAAATATATGCATGAACCTGATGAAGAGTGAGTGAGTTTGTTTTTACGCCGCTTTTAGCAATATTCCAGCAATATCACGGCGGGGGACACCAGAAATGAGCTTCACACATTGTACCCATGTGGGGAATCGAACCCGGGTCTTCGGCGTGACGAGCGAACGCTTTAACCATCAGGCTACCCCACTGCGAGATGTGATGGTGAGATGTAAAAGTATGTGTTTTGAAAGTGTAATTAGTAGTTGCATCTGGCTGATGGTGCGCTGTTGTTTCACAACTGCACAAGGCGTTGCTCAGTCTGTCAACCACTGGCTATACTGATCCACATCCGATATTAGCAGACTGCTCTGGTTAAGATAGATTATACATAATTGTAACGATACGCAACAACCAATGATTGGGAGAAAATATAATCAACGAGTTTTGAAGCTTTGGAAACAATGCTACTTCCCCGATAGGTAGGCCTACACCACTGCCTTTTCCCATATATCAGAAAGAGTAATGTCCCCTACATCCATTCTTAGTCTGCTTACAAAAGGCGCCGAACAACGTTGGGGTGCTGTTTACATACTTTTATTCTTCATGTAGGTGTATTTCATGTGAGTATGGTAATATTTACAGTGCCGACAGGTGTGTATTAACTTTGACACATTTACATTAATGTACATATGTACAAAAACAAGCATTTAAATACCTTCGGGATTGGAGTTCAACCAAAAATCTTTCACATTGAACGAAATAGCACTATAAAGCTGAATTTGCGTCCCCGAAGTGTCAACACAATCTCACCACCGAGTGCCCCTCAGCTTACTAACATATTAAATGTTCAGAAATATATATGCTGACATACAAAACCTGTTCGAGGCGTATGTTAATAGTTACTGGAACCGTGAACATTTGATCGAACGCACCGACCTAAATTGGCAAATGGTCTCTGAACGGTAACAGAAGCACAGACATTGCAGTAATGAGTGTTCAATCCATGCAGGGTTACATGCTACCATTCTCATCCTTTCCCAGAACCAGTCAGGGCACAATTGTTTGAATGTTTTCTTGTAACATTCGCTGATTTAACACATTCCTGGAACCAGCTGTTGGGAAATGGTTATTCAATGACCAGACCGAGGCTAAGGTAGTCTGCAGTTACCTTCTACAAATCCTTTCTTCTTTAACTTAACCAAGGTCTTAAATTTGTGCCTGTTTCTAATCCTTCCGCAACACTTAAATCAGTCTTTCACGAGAGAATACCCTTGGCCTTTTTGGCGCCATGTTTCGGTACGGCGTTCCAAATGTGTCGTCTTGAAATGCGTGACGTCATACGTCATGGGAGACAACTCCAGCTTGCCCAACATGGCGCTGTATAGCACTGTAGTCAGGAAGGTCCTGTTGTGAATCTCACTAGTGACAACCACACGTAGCGGCAACCATATCGTCATACTGCTTGAGGATAACATTTTCATCATCGTCAAAGTAGAGTAAACTGATTGAATAGAGCTTGTTTGGAACACAGCAAGGAGTCCCCACATCCTTTCCCACTCGCAACGCATGAACAATACTCTGTACGGTGGCGTGGTTGGTTGGTTTTTGACTCTGTCCAAGCGGGAAGGGGCATTCGCCGGTACAATGATAGGCGTTATATCCTTTGGGCGATATAATCCACCCAGACCAACCAATTTCGTCAAAATCAACATACATTTGCTGCTTTGAACACGTCCTCCTGTTCCTGTACCGACTGATCATGTCGAATGTTCTTTTCTTCCTTCCATTGCCTTTCCGGCTTGACTGACCAGTGCTTCGTTTCGTCCTTCCTCTTCCAGCCTGGCTTTGTTTCAGTGCAGCCATGATCCTGGAATCCTCCTGGGAAGGGTTCATCCCCATCATCCTAGCTCGGTGTCCCTCGTTGAGGAACCGGAGAGCCTTTCGTCTCATTGCGAGTTCTTCCCGACGCACCTTCTCCTGCTCCCGGGCCTCGATGTCCCGCTTTATCTCGAGGTATTCTGAATGAAAAGAGATATCGTTCGTTGAAGAAATGCGAGTATTATGCAAGAAACTTTAGCACTGAATAAGTAAAGGTTATATGTATCAGAATTTTGATTAAATGAATAATGACTTTGTCCATTTTGTTATAACATCATACGACCAAGTTAAGGAAAAAAGAGGTTTTTCAATAATGATTAACAGTTATGTACATTATGTCGGATTAATGAGAGTCGGATTAACGAGAGCTGACTGTATTATAAACATGTATCAATAAAGTAGGTACAAATGCGTTAAATGTTTCAAAGGCGTGAATTTTCAGTTCCAGGATAATTATGGCAAACAGAAATACCTTTATCCTGAACCCACATCTATCTTCCTGACCTCACCATACACCTAACGAGGGCATACCTCCTACCCCACCCCGTGAACCCTCAGTTTCACCCCCCTTTATCAAACATCCAGCCCGGGTGTTTGTTCACCCCACACCCTACTTCCGTGACGTACCGGCGTCCTCTGGCTTGATGAAGTTAGGATGTCGCTGAAGATGTTCCTCGGTAAACACCACCAGGATGGGCTGCTTGCTGTCGTGGTGCTCGTTGCGTTGGGCGAAGCGAATGTAGCTGCCGTTGACGTGGTGACCTTGAAGGGACGTCGTCGTTACCAGTAGACCTGCATTTACAAATACGTTCTTTAACATAGAGATGATAGGGCACTGCAGGGTGAGTGACTGAGTTTAGTTTTACGCCACACTCCGTAATATTCCATCTATATGGCGGCGGTTTGTAAATAATCGAGTCTGGACCAGACAATCCAGTGATCAACAGCATGAGCATCGATCTACGCAATTGGGATACGATGACATGCGTCAACCAAGTCAGCGAGCCTGACCACCCGATCCCGTTAGTCGCCTCTTACAAGCACAGGTTACTGAAGATCAATTCTAACCCGGATCTTCACGGATGGACACTGCAGGGAGATTGCAGGACACAACACAGAGATGATGGAAAAAAACACTAGGATAAAAGGACCTCTATTCTCAACGTGAATCACTACTTCATGTTCAACACTATGATGTTGCTCGGATATTGGCAAGAGGCGTAAAGACTACCTGCTCAGCAGAAACTGACTCGTATTCTGGGATGAGAAGTATTCACATTTCCACGGAATTCCAAATATTTCATAACTTCACGGTAAAGGTTTGTGATGTATGTTATTACAATTCATGCAATTACGATATAATCACTCTCTCAGACCTCAATGGGCTTTTAAAAAAATTAATCTTTGTGGAATTTTAGTCTTTAATCCTTTGGGTTCTTTTAGGTACACCATACCAGCACATTGATCATGAGAGCAATGTTTCATCGTTTCAGACACGTGTCTTCCTCTGGCGTCTAATTTTTGTTCCATAGTCTAACAATTTCTGACTTAAGTCGAGCTATTTCTGAGAGATGTTTTTACGCAGTTTTGGTTCTTGGTTGTCATGTTTCATGACCTGACACGTCAGCTCACCGACCGGAGTCTATTGCGGACTCTGGTCTTTATTTAGGGACTTCCATAGCTTTGAACACATTTCAGTTCATCACGCCAAGTCGGATATGGCGTCAAGCCCAAACTGACGCAGGTTTATATTTACCACTGTGGCTATACGCACCTATAAACATGTTAATCGCATGTATAATATCAAATCCTGGGTCGTTTCAAATAACCATTTCCTCTCGCATCACATAAGATGCAGGAAGCCGAACGAGTTGGTGACCAGACAATTCCTCGCTGAACACTTGTACACCATCGAACACAGATTGCATTGTAGCAAGAGTGTGTTAATATAGTTCCCACTCCCTTTACAATATGTGTATTCAGTCTTAGCCTATAAAAGGCTTCCATTATCTAATACTAGCTCCTGGGGGCAGTGGGGTAGCCTAGCGGTTAAAGCGTTCGTTCGTCACGCCGAAGACCCGGGTTCGATTCCCTACAAGGGTACAATGAAGCCCATTTCTGGTGTCCCTCGCCGCGATATAGCTGGAATATACTTGTGTTGGCGTTAAGGTTGCAGTCCAAGCCAGCAGATTACGTTGTGCAATCCTTTACTTTCTTCTAGAGATTAAACCTTGAGTGCGGCTTTCAAACATTTTTTGCATGTAAAATCATGAAATAAACGTATTTCGTTAGACAAAACAGAATACGACTATATTAGACATGGTGAAAGTGCTAACAATTTTTTCGGGTGTACATGCCTGACTAAAAACAATGACTGCTGATGGTCTGGGTATTTTGTCCCTTTGAGGAAATAAACAACATGAATTGTTTCAGCATCAAAATATACGCTGGTAGGATTGTCAATCATGTATTGGACTGACACATCGCACTAAATTTGTACCTACCAAAGTTGTTTGTGCTGTCATTCAACCAAGACTCCACTGCCTTCTTGACACGGAACTTCTGCCATCCATGCACATGCGCACTGACTCGTCTGGCGTCTAGAAGTCGCAGCCCTTTTGGGTGAAACATATCTTCCATGCTCAAAACCTGATATATCTTCATCTGCAATAGTGAAAAAATATCTTTGTAGCGTTTATGGTTAACTAGAATGGCAAAGTCGATCACAACATATTTCACTGTCAACTTCTGACGAACCGCCAACACTATTTGCGAAACAAGACACTGCATCATTGCTGATGGTAGCGAAAAACGAAAACAATGCGATCAAATGACCATGTATTTTTAGATGAATCCTTTGCTCAAAACACCAAAAAAACACACACGTCTCTTTAAAGCTGTTTCATGAAAACGCATTTTTGGGGCAAATATATTGAAGCACCTGCGTATTCTTACATGGAATTCCTTAAATACGCCAAACTTAAACCTTGGTTGTACAATCATAACTATAATAACGCCCAATCATAACAAGACACCATTCACTGGCGGTGGGGTAGCCTAGTGGTTAAAGCGTTCGCTCCTCACGCCGAAGACCCGAGTTCGATTCCCCACATGGGTTCAATGTGTGAAGCCCATTTCTAGTGTCCCCGCCGTGATATTGCTAGAATATTGCTAAAAGCGGCGTAAAACTAAACTTACTCATTCACGCCGAATGGAATCTGTTCCGTCAGATAATGGAGACTGGTTATTTTCTGGTATTGAGGTTTTATACTTATAGCGACACCCATTTCGGGATACTCCCCACAGCGCGACATCCTCGTACGAAGAGTTAATGAGGCATGGGGACTGTCAACTTCCATTGTATTTTAACAGACGCTCAAAACCAACTCTCCGGAGACTGCGGTTGTTCACTGAACCACACAAGCATCTAATACCATCGTTGTAAATATAAGTGGTCTGTTGATGACCTTTCGATAAGCAATTTACCGTGATCATTGACAGATAACATATATACACGTTTGATGCTCTAGTGTAAGGTTAGCGGGGACCGACCACTATACATAGCGATTCATAGGTAGCGTTAAGGTGATACTCTTCTGATGAAACCTTCTTAAACTTTTTACTATATTGATATTAAACACCAGTGGTTAAATTTCACAGTTCACATAAAATCGTATGTATCGTACATGGTGGTTTTCACCAAAATATTCTAGTGTGGACATTTGAGAAAATACTTACTCTACATTATAGATAAACATGCATACTTCATGCCAGCAATTCTACTGTGAAAATCAATATAATGCTATATTTGCAACGTAATTCATTAATTTAATAAAATGTGGACCTTGAAACCTGATAGACACTATTGTCTGAGAAATAAATATTCAACAACAGATAACTCCATGTGCAGAGAACTTTTTAAAAAGAAACTTGTTGCAGAAAATACTTGACGAAACAATGGCATCGTGTTTGACCACCCTCTATATGTGTTCGGGGAAAACAGGCCGGTGTCCAAAAGTTTCTTAAGAAAATACATATTTCTTCCTATGTCTTGAAACAAGTAATTTTCTGTTGCTTCTAAAATACCCGAAAAAGGGGAAACTTGACAGCTAGCATGCCTGTTCGTTGCCACGTGTTTGGTCTACGTATCAGTGCAACGAGGGGCGGTGGGGTAGCCTAATGGTTGAAGCGTTCGCTCGTCACGCCGAAGACCAGGGTTCGATTCCCCACATGGGTTCAATGTGTGAAGTCCATTTCTGGTGTCCCCCGCCGTGATATTGCTGGAATATTGGTTAACTCGACGTAAACCCAAACTCACTCACTTGGTGCAAGGCTACAGACGTCATCTATCTGGTATGCCAGGAAGGAGTACCAGTGTATGCAATAGCGCCAACGTAAACCATGACATTAATGCTGCTCTTTAAAGGCTATAAGTAGTTTTATCTTTACGCTATAATGTTTAATATCGGGAATGCTATTTCCCATCATCTGATCGAGACGTTGCATTACTGAAGGTTATCATCAATCCATATTTTAACATGGAGAGAGACTCGACATATCCTCTGTTCTTGAGATGCCAGCCCGTGGAAAAGGTGAAATAATTCAGTTTGATGTGCAAACAAGGTATTTATGGGAACATAAGAGTTGGAGGTTTATATTTTCTGCCTTTCTGGCAAATTAACATATTCTTTAAATGTTTACTAAAAGCATAATTGTGTGGGTTTTTTTATTTTATAATCGTTTGAGTGATGTGTTTCGTTTATGTATAAGTGGACTTTTGTTGGATATATAAATTTCGGAATAGTGAACTAAAACGGAACTAAGTATCTACAACTGGCCAATTGATTAATAACGCGGTGTGTAAGCGTACCCTCCGCCATGGCTATATTTACTCGACGTAGGACAACACAGTTAGGACATCCATTCCAACAATGCAAGGAATTCTCAACGGGACTAGTGCCGTGCGCGTTACTGTCAAATGACAATATGGCGACAATATTATAAACTGAATTTTAGTGCCCAAGGTGTTCCTGTTACCGTGTTTCTTTTAATTATAATATATTTCTATTTCTAGTGACGTCATGTAACGTGAACACCACGCGTTAGGAACTTGTATTAATGTGGTAAGTTGTGTGGAACCGAGTAGACCCGAGTGTGACCGAATGACTAAAACGATCCATACCTCAATCAGATGTGTAGGCTTCGTCTCTGCTTCCTCGGATGGCCTCGGTTTCATTTTGAAAATGTGAAACTCCGCCTCGAGAAGACTTCCTTCTTCTCCGTACTGCGACACGTTGTAGTGAAAATGCATGCGGTGTACGGAGTCTGAAATGAAATGAATGAAAATCAATTTCTGATTAATTGTCTACAAATATACCCTTTAAAGCAAGCCTGTATAACCCTTATGAATATTAATGAGTGAGCGAGTGAGTTGGGTTTTACGCCGCTTTTAGCAATATTTCAGCAATATCACGGCGGGGGACACGAGAAATGGGCTTCACACATTGTACCCATGTGGGGAATCGAACCCGGGTCTTCGGCGGGACGAGCGAACGCTTTAACCACAAGGCTACGCCACCGCCCCTTGAATATTAATAATTCAAGTTCAAATATGCGTGAACTACATAGGCATTTCCCGTTAAAGATTGACTGATATTTGTAGTTATTATTAGGTCAAGGTCATACGTTGCATCACGTATTCGTGTGTCTTGGAACATATGAACTACATACATTTTAATGGAAATTATGCTGACCTTTAAGACGTTGAAGGTGTTCGTAATGTATACCGAGAAAGTAAATAGCTTTACGTGTTACAAAAGAAACTTCAATCGTATATCTATAGTCATATATACCACTCCAAATAAAATAAAGAACACTTGATTTATGTTTTACTGTGGGTAATCTGTGGCAGTATGAGATACCTATGTGAATATACTCACATATACTACTCAAAAATAAGGGGTGTTGGGGTAGCCTAGTGGTTAAAGCGTTCGCTCGTCATGCCTAAGACCCGGGTTCGATTCCCTACATGGGTACAATTTCTGGTGTCCCCCGCCGTGATATTGCTGGAATACTGCTAAAAGCGGCATAAAACTAAACTCACTCACTCACTCACAAATAAAGGGACAAAAAACTTTTCACAACCATTATAAGAATCACTGGTAAGAGCAGAGTCGACTGTACAATTCCAATGATACTGCAATATTACAGCCATATGATGGCGGTCTATAAAGACATGGACCAGGCAATCAAGTGACTGACTTGAGATACGATAACAGAGCATGAGTATTGAAACAGTGATGATACTATAGTCTGTAAAACCAACTTTTGGGACACCCCTTTTGTGAAATATCTTCCAAATAAACCAACTGTGTTAATCAACCATTAACGTATATCTTAATGATCCCTTTAGACGTAATAGGAAAAATAGTTTAAACTTTATTGGTCACTAGGGGAAAAAGTTACTTAAGAAACTATCATTAAAATATCTGTTTGTTTTGGTGTCAAGAGACGGGGTGTAGTCGCAGTAAACGTAACAGCTTCCGGGTTAGGCCAGCGCGCAATTCAGGGGATCATTCAGATATACGTTAATGGCATGACGTCAGTTGGTGTTATTTGGAAGATATTTCACAAAACGGGTGTCCCAAAAGTCGGGTTGACAGACTATAGGTGTTGGCGAACAGATCCACGTAACCTGACCCACAGGTGGAACCCGTCATAAACACATGCAAAGGCTAGTCAAGTGTTTACCTAAACAAAAATCGGGAACGTATGATATACGTCAAAGTGGGGAACATCATCGGAAATCATTTTTATCACTGATGTATCAGATATTGAAATGAAAATGAGCATATTATAACTGTTGCAATTTCATTTTTGTTTCAATATGAAAAATAGTACTGATAGCTGGTAGATAAAGGTTCTAGGTGTGTGGAATGATCGACCTTTCGCGAAGACTTAAAGGTTAACACAGGTACACATATATGGAGATTATTTCTGGGGCAATGAAGTCAGTCCAACGGAAACAACCCGTTTGGTTCATCGTTGCCTAATAGGAACACCCCTGTCCATGATTGAGTGGTGCATATATCTTTGAAGCACCCCGCACCCAAAGATTGATCAGGTTTTAATCATATAGATAGACGACTCTCGTGCTCTCCTACAAAACATTTCGAAAACAATAGCGTCAATTATTAAACAGGATGAGTAGCTTTTTACCGTTTTACCTTTTTAAAAGGGAAATTTGTAAACGTTATATGATACTACATGATATTTTCACACTTCAGTTTGTACCGAAAAAACATTTCCCATACATAATGAAGTGTTAGATGAAAGAAGCCATGCTAGCGTGTGTGTACATGTTTAGTAGTGGCCAATAAAGAACATCCATAGCTATGTTTATGAAACACCAAAGCAAACATGTCTTCGTTGTAAACGTGATGTTGGACGCCATTTAAAAATCATATTGAGTTGTAGCGGATGTTACGAGACAAAATGAGATACAGTCTAGTTACTTTGCTACAACTACAAAACGCATGTCCAGGTTACCTTTTTTATATTTTGTGTGAGTTTTGTGTGTGTCAATATTTCGTTTCTTTATAAAAAGACCTGCATTAGAATATACCCATCGTATTATGCTTGTCGTAAGAGATAGCTGATAAGCATGGAGGCTTCAATGCGTGACCCAGTCTATAACCTATGGCGTGAATAGGTGGTCATGCTCTCAACCAATAGTATCTATGTCATTGTCGACATGGCTCGACAGCAGCTGACTGCGACGTGGTACATGATTAACTCTCTCATCACAACATCCAATGCCCAGTATATCAATGCAGTATGTTACTTGGTAAAGAACGTACTCATCACGCCGTAGACCCGGGTTCGATTCCCAACACGAGTACGATGTGTGAATCCCATTTCTGATGTCCCCCGCCGCGATGTTGGCGTTGGCAGTGCCCACAGATTACGTTTGCAATCCTTAACTTTCTTCTAGGAACCTTGATTGACTTTCAAACATTTTTGCATGTAAAACATGAAATTCATGCCCATTGCTGGAATATTTTGAGGCCGTTTCATCCCCATTGCTTTTACCGTTTATATGTGTATATATGCACTGCTATGACGTTATAGTCAGGGCGGGGAACACCTCATGGTGAAGTCGTCTTGTGGGGAATCGAAAGCCGACTCCTGTGGTTCAGTCTTGTATAACCAATCGAGTTTTTCACTGCTATGACAGTATTCCAGAATTCACGGTTAACTAAGCCGACTGCACTCTGACCATATATGATGCATTGTATTATTACCTACGCAGAATCGCAAAAAGCAACCAAAGGCTATCAGGAATGCCATACATGGTCCCTCAAAAATGTACTTCGCAGTAGTTCAAGAAAGTAAACCAAGCAATAAACAGAACCATGATAGGAACCATTTAAGATTGTAATTGTCACCGTTTGTATTTTCACCCATGTAAATAACTGTAGCAAAGTAACAAGAAGTGCCTGGACTTGAAACTGTCGTTTTATGCATTGACTTTCCAAGGCTTATAAAATAATAATAACCACTATCATCTTCACCGCCATCATCATAACCACCACCATCATCTTAATCATCATCATCGACGTCGTCATAATCATTTTCGTCAACATCATCATAGTCAACATCATCATCATCATCGACGTCGTCATAATCATCGACGTCGTCATAATCATTTTCGTCAACATCATCATAGTCAACATCATCAACATCATCATCACCACCACCACCACCATCATCATTATAAAGGGAGAAACCACTGCCGTCAAGAGCAGTCCCAACAGGTCCAAATCGTTATAGGGGGATCTATAGCAGTGCTAATTTGCAGTCCCAGTCAATATTGATTCACTTCCTAAAACACCGCAACTCAAATTTCACCATTTATGTAAATCAGTTAACGATTGTCTTAATTACATCGATAAACTATCTCAGTATATAGCAATCGATTAACACGTCGATACCTGGACTAGAAATAAGCACTCGGCTTTGGAGTACAACCCCTCTTTAAATAACGCCGCATCAAACACATTGAGGGAGTCCCCAGTGTGTTCCGCTAGACCAGTCCTATATGACTACGGGAGAATAAACTCGTGAACTAAGACGACAGTAGGCAATCTTGTTATGATTACATATGCCTCATTACGCCGGTGTTAGTCCGTGCCTTAGACTTCAGAATGGGTTACTGGCAGGTAACGCGACAGTATCTGATCACAGGGAAGCCAATCAGGCGTGAATTCATTGCAACGTTAATCTAAGAGCTTCCTCGCGCGACTTCATTCATCTTTGCATATAAAGGAAAACTTGTAAGTAGAATTTTGTCAAGTTAAATTCTTCCATTGTGGTTGGTGCATGGCTGTCATGCTCAGACTTCATGGTGGCATAAGTACATAGGGATGATATCAAACCCCAAGAAGATGGGTTTTTTTTTCTAAAAATGAAACTATGATTTGTAGACGTCTAATGTTGATTCACACCCAAGCAATAGCAACTAAAAGATATTTCAAGCTGTAATTCTTATCTATTGTTTGACTAATACTTGACAACGACATATTAAACATTTAAGGTTTATAGAACTTTTGAAATGTCCCCTCTAGGATCAGTGATCTGGATTTTCTTGTGTAGCGTTTGTTCCAGTACAAGAGCTCTGAAGCAGTATTTCCCTAGAGAATAGCACCAGTTAACATCTTACAAGTCTACGTTACCTTCACATTGCATGGGTTGTGTACACTCACCTGTTGTCCCTACAAACACATGGGAACTGTTGCCAGACAAACGTTATTGGGCTAAAACATACAAACTATCAGAGCTTCTGTTTGTGTTTGATATCATATTCTATCGCTGGATTCAGTTTTGTACTCATATTTCAAATTAAGGTCACTGTTGAACATTGAGGGTTCATTATGAAGTACGTTTACAAGCTTTATTCAAATACATACCCAGGGAAATTGGTTATTTTGGCTGGAAGAATATACGCTCATTTCATGTTTGTCATAATGGGATTCCCGTCCAGTGATAAAGTCCCATGTGTTTATAGCAATGTGTGAAACGTTCAAATATATTTATGGAGATTAATTAGAGAAAGTTCAAAGTTATATTTGGCTGAAATCAGGAGAGACGTGTGAATGATCACCTGTGAGAAATGTAAGTGTAAGAATGAATTATTGGGAATGTATTTGCCTTTCATTATAAAACTGAGATTTGTTTCTTACTGTTCTATATCTCTCTATTACTGTTTTACGACATCTGAAGGATGTTGTAGTATATACAGTAAAACCTTGATGTGACGAACCTTG